CAGAGTAATGCCGGCGAAATCGCGTTGCCGTCACATCGTTCCCATATTCCACTACAACGCTTGGGAAAAATGCACACATAAATGTCCGTGTTTTTCTTTTATTTTCTTGGTTTCCTGTCAGGCGATGTTCCTGGCCTACGGAGCGCTCGGCCTTGCCTGGGTAGCGCTTTGGCTGCCCCTGGTCTCCGACAAGCCCAGCAGCCCTGCCTCCGCGGCGGATGACGCCGAGACCCCAGACGCCTCCGCAACAATAGCGAACGCTGGAAGAATACGATCGGGCAGGGACGCCGGTGACGGTATTGTTCCCTCGGCGACGCCGCCACCGGCGCCGGCGCTAGCAGGGGCTGGTGAGAAGACCGCTGTAGGCATCGGAAGCGCGAATGGCGGCAGCGGTGGAGCACTGCCGGTCGAGACTGTGGCACTAGAGGGGGAGGAGGGGGGGGGCGCAGCTGCTGGCGAGGGGGGGGGAGGGGTGTTAGAGGGGTTCCGTGCTGTGCCGTGGAAGGAGTACGTGACGAACGGGCAGATCTGGTCGATTGCGGCGGCGCATATGGCTCACAACTGGGGGCTGTACGTGCTGCTCGCTTGGTTGCCGACCTATTTCGTCCAGGTGGGCGTTGTTGTTGTTGTTGTTGTTGTTGTTGTTGTTTTCGTTGTTTTTATTCTTGTGTGCTGTTGTTGCCGTCGTTGGTGATGGTGGTGTTGCTGTCTTTGGTGATGGTGACGATTGGATTGCTGTTATCGCTGTTGTCGTTTCGTTATGGTTATCGTAGCGGTTGTGGTTACCGCTGTTGGTGGTGTTGTTGTTACTTGGCGGCAACGCTGTCGGTTCTGTCGTCGGAGACATCTTCGAAGTTGTGTTGACCCACCGGCAACGACACCGTTCAAGGACTGGCGCTGTGCCACACTTCCTCTGTTGCTGGTTAACGGAGGTCTCATCTCGACCGTCAGAGGCAGTTAGAGGCAGGCGCTTCGCTGCTTTACGGAGGGAGCACCGTGTTTGTTCAACCAGGAGCACGTCGCCCTGATCAAACGAGAGAATGCTTCTGCTTTCTACTCCTCGCAACACTCTTTCGTATACATACCCATGACGATAACTGCGTTGACAAGAAACGAGTCACTCCTTGTCTTTCTTAGCCTCTCCCCCCCACACGGTACGCGCCATCCCAAAGCAAATCAGTATATCTACGAACCCCCCCCCCCCTTCCCCCTCCCCAACC